AAGGAGTAAATAACACTTCCTTATTTACTTTCTCCACACCAGTCATGATTTTAAAGACCTCTACCATATGCCCCCTTAGTCGTCTCTTTTCCAAGCTAACAAGTTCCAGTCTTATTAATCTCTCCTCATATCGAAGCTGTTCCATGTCTCTAATAATTTGTGTTGCCCTTTTCTAAATCTTTTCCAATTCTAATATATCATTTTTGAGATGGGGCGACCACATCTGCACACAATATTCAAGATGTGGGCATAGCAGGGATTTATATAGCGGCAATACAATATTTTCTGTCTTATGATCTATCCTTTTCTTTATGGTTACCAACATTCTGTTAGCTTTTTTGACTGCTGCTGCACATTGAGTGGATGTTTTCAGACAGCTATCCACAACAACTCCAAGATCTCTTTGAGTGGTAACAGCTAATTTAGACCCCATCATAGTATATGTATAATTGGGATTATGTTTTCCAATAACATGATATAAAATAAAATAAACATGTCCCTAGCCATGTATATGGGTGTCCTTGTCATAAATTACAAATAAAATTAGAAAGCCAATGTGGGTGAAGAATCATCTTGTATTAGACCAACTTCTCTTGGTGAGAGATACACGTTTTCAAGTTTACACAGAGTTCTTCGTCAGATCTGGAAAACTTACTGAATGTCACAGATAAATACAAAATGGAACAGATTGTTTAGCATAAGTAGTTACATATTTCAAGGGACTAAAATAATATAAAATAAAAATAAATAAAACTGGATCTTGCCATCCCTGCCATAAATTACAAAAAAACCCCAATTACACAACCATGAGAACATAAAGCTCCCATATAAGAACTCTGATTCCCCTCAAAAGCTGCTCTCTGCAGCACCTTGCAGTGAAATGGACTGAAAACTTTCACATATTATTTCAAATGGAAACTGCTTCACTTGAAGAACTGTCAAGTTCACATCATATATACCAGGAGCCAGATAAAAACAAATACTTTTTCTGGAAGGTTGCATGTAACATGACTTTATTGCGTAGAATTGAAAAGGACAACACACAAGGACCAAATCAGAGAGAGAGAAAGCAGGCTGCTCTCTAAAAAACAGAGAGCCACAACTCACCCAACCTTAGCTGAGGCTGGCAGGTTGCATACTGACTCCGATCCCATGCTTCCATACAGAACCCCCTGCCTGCAAGCAGGACCAGGGAAACTCCTGTAAATTTAAAGTCATGGATCATTCTTTTAATACAGTTTTCAATACATCACAAGAACCTCATTGTATTTTGCTTTCTGTCTTTCTCTCCTGACTAGGATGATGTTGTGGAGAGCCATGTGCCTTTACAATGACTCCAATTCAGCAAACTATCACTTTTCAGAAAAGTACATGCTGAGCTTAAAAGGGACTTATGTGGGTACTTTGCTGAACTTGGGTCTATAACAGGTGCTCTCCTGTTTCAGTATATCATTATGTTGACTCTGAAAATAATTCTGCTTATGAGAAAGGGCAATGCATACACTGATATCTCTGCTATGAGGGGCTAACTTCACTTCTCATTCTTTCTCCTGTGGCAAATTGCCAGCACTACTATGATGGGTCTTGCCCTTTCTCTTCTTGGGGGGCGGGGGGTCAGGGCGCCATTTCTTGCCCCTGAACTGGGATATTAACTGCCCCAGTAGTGTCCTAGAGGAAGGGAGTGGAGAGGGAGGGACCCGGGCCCGCCCTCTACTCCGGGTCCCAGCCCGGGGCCCTAGGAATAGCGGTAAACCACTTGAACTAACGGTTCCTTACCCTGGGCTACTTCCCTCTCCTGCCCTTCAGCTTGTGGGGGCTTCCTGCTCTCCCTCTGCACAAGCCAGGTGTCCCTTTACCTAGGGTCTTGGTCTTCTTAGCCCACCACAGCACTTCTCCAAACTTTCCTCTGCTTCCCTCCAAACTGATCTCTGCTCCAACACCAATCCACACTGCTTCAACTCCTTTCCCTGTCTGATTGAAGCGGGGGGGAGGGGGGTTATCAGGTGACTGGCTTCAGGTGCTTTAATTGGCTTCAGGTTCTTTAATTAATCTATAGAAAACTTTCTTCCCGCTACAGGGAATAAGTCTTCCTTCTAACCCTCTCCTGCTGCCCTCTGGCCATGCTGTATCACAGTCCATTCAGATTTCCCATTCATCAGTTGGCAAGAGCAAATGGAAGAAACACCCACTTTTGTCAAAAAAGTGGGCTGTGGTGCAAAGGAACATGCGGAGGGGCAAGCTATGATGCCAGCCCTGTGCAGCAGGAGAGGCAGGGCTCAGGTGGGGAGTAGGCAGGTGACCAGCGACAGCCTTGTGCAGAGGGCAGGCAGGGTTCGAGCAAGTGGCTTGGGCCAGACCCCTGCTGGGGTGAGGGGGAGGGGCTTGGGCAAGCCCTGCACAGTGTCCCGTGTTCCCTTTGGGAAATATGGTTATCCTAACCCTGGGGGCCAAATGAGC